AAACAATGAGGGGCCAGGGAGATAGCTCAGTAGAATAAGCGCAAGCACAGGGTCCTGAGTTCAATCCCTAGTACCACACACACACAAAAAGACAATCAAAGCATACAAAAACTGTGGGATAATTTGGAAGACACTGGCATAATTGCTGAATCTGAAGCAAAATGCCCAAATTTTACTGCCACATTTGATTATTCAGTAGGATAACCACTATTTTCCTTTTCTAATGTCTCCATATTACTGACACATAAAAGTAAATAATTATGTGAACAAATGCAAAAGACCACACTTTTATCCTGCCAAGAAAATCCTTTTCTACTACAATCATGTCATCTCTTGAACTAGAAATTACCTTGTAAATAATTTTATATTGAACTGTATTTCAATATAAAGGAGACTTCCATTTAAATACACTGATTAAAAATTTTATCAGATCTTTAAACTATGAAAGGACACATTCTGTAAGCTCTTCTGGGTCAATGTTATTTAAATAAAAGATTGAAGCAGTAAAGTCAGTCTATTCACAAAACAGCACATCAGAAATCCCTCAAATGGAAACTCCACATATCTTCTTGTTCAAATCAACTGTCATTTCCCTCCAGGACTCAAAAAGTTGTGAAATCACACATCCATACATAGCCTATTTTCAGCATATATTGTTACTATATAAACAGTGCAGTTTTGTTACAAAATCAACATACCTAGAATGGGAAGCCATAACAATTCTTATGTGGCATTCAGGGATTATGTTCCTGACAAAAAAAGCTGTATAATTTTTAAATGTTACTCATGCAGTAGGTGCTAAACTAATAGGCTGTGTTTAAGGGAGGAGGTTAGGTCAAATATCTAGCAGGAACGAAGTTGAATCCTGGTCAAATATCTAATAGGAAAGAAGTCCACAATACCACCACTTCAGTAAAACTGGCTTACTTTACGTTATTCTTCGGCAAACCATTTCCAAGCTCATTTTTAAAAGCGCAGTCTGTTATTTAAATATGCAGTATGTAATTAAATGTCTATATAAGTCTATTTCCCCTCAGACATTTAAACCCATGCTTTTTGACAAACCCCTGAGCTCTAAATCCTGGCTACTGAGAAACAGAGCTGTCACATTTCAGGCTCGAAGGGTTGGTTAGAGACCTCAAAGGCCTTGTCACAGCTACACAAAAAGAATAAACACTGCAAGCAAGGCAAAATAAAAAAGAAACCCAGCTCTTTACAGGAAGTCTAAAACATGCTTTTCCCATATTGATATGCTTGAACACTACATACTTTCTCTTGCTCTCACTAATTTCTTTTCAATCCTGAGAATTCAAAAAACATTTAATTGCACCTCATCAGCTATCAGAAGTAATACAAATTGCGGGGGAGGGGAAGGGTATTTTCCAATTGCAGTTTTCCCCCTCCTCTCCCCTGGCTTCATTTCTTGAAACCCACTTCTTTCCTTTATTTAATTTTCTGTCTTCTCTTCTTGCTAGATATGTGCACATTTATCTAATCAGGTTTCGAAATAACATAAATGATGGCCTATGAATCAATCATTTGCAACTATATGTGACATTATAATTTGTTGCTGCTTATAAATGATTTAACTCAGTCCCAAAGGCAATTGGTTCCTTGAGCCAATAGATGAATACTCCAAATAGGAAATAAAAAGCATGCTTTTCCAATCCAAACTGACAATACAATATCCTTTTCTTACAGAAACGTTTGGAAAGTGTATTTATTACACACAAATAGCTAGAACACAAGTGCAGACATTTTTCAGGCCTGTTACTGCAAAGCTGTTTGGTCTTCCTGCCACAATAGCTCAGAGTTATGTCACGCTGGCTTGTGTGTGAACCTTGATCACTTGGTTCCCGAACATTTCTCAGAGATAATAATCAATAGAATTCCCATTCGAGAAATGGTATTTTCTTGCTTACTGCTACAGCAAATGTTTGGCGGTTTATTTTAAGATTTCAGGGAAATTTGTGCCATACACTTCCCGTTTTTTCTTCTAGCCCTGATTCCAAAGATATTAAAATGTCCGTTTTAAACAAAAGGTTTCTACGGGCTTCCACGAGAGTCACCGAGGCTGCACTGGCTTTCAGTAGTAGCTCTTGTGAATCCAGGCCTCCATCTGGGTTGCCTCATTAAACAAAAGATACCCTCACTGTCAACAACCACGAAGCACAATGATCCCCTATTGCTGATCTTCATTCGGAAAGAATGGTGCAGGCGAGAAACACGCCTGTCACCATTCGCTGACCAAGAAACTCTTCTGGGGTCCCTCCCTTCGCCGATCTGTCGGTAAGGAACAGCTCCCGTGTGACACAAGGGGCTTACCCTCCGGCCCCGCCCCGCCCCCCAAACCTAAGCCCCCTTTCTGTGGAACCCTAGGACTCGGTTCCCTCAACCCTCCTTGAAGGATCCAGTCGCAATTCTGCCCACCATTCCCGACCCAGAAGGCATAACAATGGATGCTCATGGATCACCCCAACAGCCGCCAAGCCCCCGGCTCTGCCCGCCACCCTCCGGGCCACACACAGCTGCGGGTGGCACCACCCCACCGGCGCCCGCGCGGCGCGGCCAGTTCGAGCCCTCGGCCCACCTTCCCGCCCCCGTGTCTCTCCCAGGAAAGAACGGCCCTGCTGCCGTTTAGCAGATGCAGAGCGGATAACGCACAGCCCTGGGGGACCCGAAAGGCACCCGCCGCCACATCAGGCAGAGCAGCCTCGACCCTCTGCACGCGCGCGCGACTGTGTGTGTGCGCGCGCGGGCGGCGGCCCGGCCGCACTCACCGAGCAGCAGCAGCTTGAGCTCCCGGCGCGCGTCCCGCTTGTCCCTGCGGAGCTGCCGCTCGATCTCGTCGTTGATCCGCCGGGCCTCCTTGGCCTCCTCGCTCAGGCAGCACGCCATGATGGACTCCAGAGTCATGCTTCCCGAGTGCCGTCGCCGCAGCCCCGCTGGCACCCCGCTCACACGCGCGCACACCCTCCCGCCCTCGCTCCCCCGAGGCAGCGGCCGCCGTGGAGCCCCCGCCGCCCGGGCGCGCGACCGGAACGAGCTCGGGGAACCGCCGCG